GTGCTGTACTCCCACATGGCTGACCATGGTTCAAGTCCCAGACCTGGTGGCTTACTTCCTCACTCCCCTTCTGTCCCCTATTTTTCTCTGGGGAGTGCATGTGCCCTATAACAAAATTTAAAAATAATACTAATAGGGACCAGCGAATGGCATAATGGTTATGTTGCTGGACTCCCACATAGTCAACTACGGTATAAGTCCTAGGCCCGGAGACTTAAAACTTACGCTGGGTGTGTGTGCGTACATGCCCAAGATTCTGAGAGGAGAATGGAGAAGAAGGGATTGTGGTGTGGCCATCCCCCCTGGGGAGAGATTTCTCGCTTTCTGTCTCTCTCTATTTCTCTGGTGAGTATATGTGCCCTATAGTAAAATAAATAAATAAATCAATCTTCCAAACAGAACAAATTGGCTCAGCTTCAGTGATGCACACTGCTAGTTTGGTATTACTGGGAGGCTGGGGCCACACTGCAGGCCTGGGTTCAGCTCTGTCAACAGGTCCAGTGCGGTGCGCATGCCTGCAGCCCTAATTAACTGGGAGTCTGGAGTGGGAGGATCATGACTTGGCAAAACCAAAACTTCTCTCTCATAAAAAAACAACCAAACACACAAGTCACTAGGTGTGTTAAATATGTTGACTTTTCCAATATAATTCATTTCCTTTGTAGTCCTATGATTTTATTTTATGCCCTTCAAATGATTATTTTGAGAATGAGTCCATATGTTTCATAACCAAAGGTGTTAATGTGACAACACGTGTTAAAAACCCTTGGTCAGGGGGCCAGCAGGTGGCATGGTGGTAAAGGCACTGGACTCCCACATGGACGACTATAGTTTGAGCCTTGGACCCTGTGGCTTGAGAATCACATTGGGAGTGTGCGTGTGCACACCCAAAAATCCCGAGAGGAGACTGGAGAAGGAATTACAGCATGGTCATCCCCCTTGCGGGCTGACTTCTCACTTTTCCCTCTCTCAGCCTCTCTCTGGTGAGCACACACATCCTATGGCAAAAACCTAAAAACAAAACAAAACAAAACAAACCCTTGGTCAGGTGGAGGGACACTCAACTTTAGAACCAAAGAGACCTGGGTTAAAAGCCTATTTGCCTCTTCCTAGCCCTGGGACCTTTTGCACAGCGATCAGCCTTCACTCATCTTTCATACTTCCACAGATTTAACAAACGTCTGTGGAGTTCCTACCACCGGCCACCAGGTTAAATCTTATGAATTGAATACAGACAGACATAACCCTTTCTGCTCCAAGTTTACAACCGAGTGGGGGAGGCAGACAAGAGAACAGGCCATTACACAACACCGTGGTAAGTACTTCGATAGAGGAAGGACACAGCCCAGACGTGGGGCTCCCAACTTGTGGGCTCAGGAAAGATTTCCAGGAATAAGTCCACTCATCTGAGACTTGAGGCGTAAGTGGAAAGGTGAAGCAAATAGGGATAAAAGTGGTCCAGACAGGAGGATGCGCCTTTCAGGGACATGGCATGTTTAGAAAGTGAGAGGCCAGGAGGGGAGAACGGCAGAACAAGGAGCAGGAAGCACGACTGCACGAGAGGCCAGACAGGAGGCCGTCTTACAGATACTGGCTTTAGTCTGAGAGCGGTGGGAAGTCATTGACAAGTTTTAATCCGCGATGTGTCGTGATGGGATTCTAGTTCATTTTAAAAATCAGTTTGGTTTTGTGGAGAATGCATTAGAGAAACTGAAGACAGGCATGATGATTCGGAGGTTGTTGAAATCTCACTGAGCGCGTGAGCCCTTGAGTTGCGGCAGTGGAGATAAAGACGAATGGAGAGATTTGAGAGAGTGGAGAGGTAAACCCAGGTGAGTCTATTATAGGTTCCAGGGACTGAGGAAGAGAGACATCTCAGATTTCTGGTGGAACGAACAGGACAGATGATAGGTTTTCTCCCGTTCACTGGGGATAAAGCAGTCTTACAGGGTAAAGGCATAAGGAGAAGTCTGAATTTATGGGTTGAGGTGACTGAGTGAGGGTGTTCACACTGGAAAATGGCTTTGGGATGGAAAGCCATCTGTTCCATATAGTGAGGTGCTATGGACAGCATTCCATCTTCCCGGTCCTTCGCTCAGCATCTGCTGAGGGTGTCCTATATGCTGGATGTTGGGGATGCAGTGAACAAGCAGGGAACAAGCACTCTGAGTTCCTGCCCTCAGCCAGTTTACAGCCTACTTCTCTTAACATTTTTGTTTTCTTTTTTCTTAAGAGAGATTTTTGCTATAGAATACTTGGGCTAGCCAGGCAGAGACAGAGAAACAGAAAGGGAGGAATCACCCTGGTGGAAGGTGTGTGTGTGTGATGGGGGGGGGGAGGGTGACCATGCCGCAATCCCTTCTCCTCTATTCTCTTTTAGGGATTTTGGGCATGGATGCACACAATCCCAGCGTGAGTTTCAAGCCTCCGAGTCCGGGACTCGAACCTTTGAAGAACATGTGAGAGTCCAACGACATAACCACTATGCCATCTGTTGGTTCCTCTGAACGTGGGGCGAAGATAATATCGCGACTAAGATGAGGCAATAGGAGAGTATCTGGCCCTTTGAATTCTTGTAGCGCTTTCTCTTCCCCAGAGCCTGAGGGTAAGACATTCGGTTGCTTTAGCCTCCTTCTCAGGTGGTCTCCTCTGCGCAGGCGCCCTGGACCTCCCGGGCTGCGGGATGGGACCCGCCCGAACCTGAGCGGCCTTTCCCAGGGCCAGGGCGGGGCTGGGCTGGGTGGAGGTTGGGGGAGCGGCCGCTCCGTTACGTCATCAAGCTGCGCGGCTCGCCGGGCGGGATACGAGCGCGACAGCGCGACCGGTGGACGCGGGCTGGTTCCCGGAGGCCGCGGCTGCCGCTGACACATGTCACTGCGCACACATCCACACGCTCACCTTATCTCCAGATGGAAAGACCAGCCCGGGGGATGGGAGCCCACCTCTTCCCTCTGGCAGTGTGAACTGCGGCCCGGGGAGAGGAGGCCGGCGTGGGGGGATTCGAACCCTCTCCGTGGGGGAGCGAGCAGGGAGAGCCAGGCCTCCTGCCTTCCGCTCGGAAGTTCCCTGCCAGAGCACTTCTTCTGGCATGTCTAGGTCTCTTGAACCGGGCACTGGTTAGCCGTGTGGCCTGCCCGTCTTCTTCGGTGGGAAATGAGGGCCGGATTCCACGATTTGAAGGCCCGCATCTGGGGGGATGTGATTTGGGGAGGAGCACAGCATCTCCAGCCTTCCAGACATCTCTTCGTTCTTTGCTTGCACCCACCCCAGCACAGTGCACGTAACAATCACAGGAGCCTTTTTTGTGTTTGTTACGGTTGAAGCAGGCTCTAGGGTGGACTTTTTCTCTCATTTCGAGTCCGGGGGAGGGGGGATTTAAGACTGATTGAAAGTGAAACGTGTCTCAGCCTGATTTTAATTTCGGTTTGCTCCGTGTCTCCTGCCCTTCCTACTTTCCCAGCGTTGTCCCTGCCTGTGCCCCTGTAGGAAGGGTGTCATTGTGTGACTGGCTCATTCTTGAGCTGGAGAGAAGGGGATTGTGATCCAGGGTTTTCTGAGGCTGGTGGGAAGTTAGTGGCACCTTTGGATCCTCTTGCTGTCTTGTTGTGGCTGCTGTGGCCACAACTATAAGCTGCGTTTGTTACCCTACACCTCTCCTTCCACCGCTTTCCCAAGGATTGCAGCCCAACTGGTCACCCATTGGGTTTGCTTTTGTTTTTTGAGTCCATTTTCTTCTGAGTTCTCTATGGCCAATCAGTTGTGTGTAAACTGTACTCTTAATTCACTACTTTCTTGCCTGCCTTTTTTTTTTTTTAAGAATTATGGGAAGATAATAATAATGAAAAATTAAATAAGTTCTTTAAAAAAAAAAAAAAAGAAAGAAAATGAGAAAGCAAGCTTCCCGGTCTGAGACTCAGACTATGCTCAGCTTTGTGCTAGTCCAGCCCCTCAACCACCATGCCACCTGCTGGTCGTTCTTGACTGCGTTTTATTTTTATTTATTTATTTATTAAAGAATTATTTTATTTAACATTTATTTATTTACCTATTTTAATTTGACTAGTGAGGGACAGAGCGAAAGCAAGAGAGAGAGCGAGAGAAAGTGAGAAAGCAAGCCACCAGGTCCAGGACTTGAACCGCAGTCGGCCATGTGGGAGTCCAGCGCCATCAACCACCATGCCACCTGCCAGCCCCTTGACTGTGTTTTAACTTGATCATTCCTTGAGTTTTAGGGTCTCCTAATAATTTCATTTTCATCCTATTTCTTTTTTCTTTCTTATATCTTATGTACATATCCAGGGGCATGGATGATGGTGATGCAATGCCTGTTTCCATTCTTTTCATGGAAATGGGTTTCTGTTCTTAAAGTTACTATTTTTGTACATCAGTCCTATGATATAGCTACCTCCAGCCCCAGTACTTTCCCACTCTTCTGTTTCCACGTCCTAAGTGAATCGCTGCTTTCATTCCTTACTCTGGTTATAAACTTTCTTAGTTCTTTCATGGTTTCAAATATTATGAACAAACCAAAAGCTGGTTTTATACTGTGTAATCTCTTAGCTGTTCTGGTCAGATAATAATGGTGATGAAAATAATTATGGGATGGTCCCTTTGCCTTAGAAATATTAGTTGATATTTATCAGGTTTGGTGGTTCATTTTCAGTGTAGGTTGTCATTCATGGCCAATTTTGCATAAAAAATAGAGAATAACAAGTACTCAAGGCCTTTCTTCCCTTGTGGCTTGCGGAGTTGATTCATGACTTCTGATATTTGACACCAGTGACCCCAGAGGCCTCTGGGTCTATGAGCCTCACATTTTCCAGAAAAACTAACAGCTATTTTGAAAACCAGAGCTTGGCTGGCATCCTTCCTAGACCTCATACTGAGGGAGAGGCTATTCAAATGCTGGCACTGGAGGATGTTTGGAGTTGCCAAAACTCATCCCATTGATGGTTTATACTTCGGAATTCCTGCTCTGATTCTAGTGGCTCTGACCCAAGGAGAGCTGACAGTCTGGATTTATGTTTGCAGTAACAATGAGGAGGAGAGCTGACCCAGAATGCACTGCCCCCATCAAGAAACAGAAAAAAAGAGTTGCAGAGCTTGGCCTGAACCTCAGCTCCACATCCGACGATGAACCTCTTTCTTCTGTCAGTCATGCGGCAAAAGGTATGCTTGCCTCTGTAGTCAGAATCCCTGGTGCCTGATGCCTGAAGTGAGTCGAATATAGTCCACTGCTCCGTGGAGAAAATTTGGCAAATTCTACAGAGATGTTGGCCATCAATTCTCTTCCCTTCTGCCATTCTCCTACTGAGAGTAGAGAAAGTTGTTTCAAATAAGTTGGAATTGCTCCACCAGTGCCTTAAATTCTGTTGCTGGTCCTTCAGTAAGTGGTACTCTTTTGCTGCCTTAAACTAGTAAGTAGTAGTGAGTCTTGGGTGCCTACTGCTTGTAATAGCTATAGATCCTGGGGGTCTTGCATAGGGGATGGGCTCTACTAGAGCATTCTAGCTCAATTATCAGGTGTTTTTATGTTGGTTTCTCAATGCCTTCAGTAGTTGTGGTCAGAAACACCCAGCTGTATTGGAACATCACTATGTTCACTGTTTACATTAAGCTCAAAGCATTTTACTGAAACTAGCATTTTGCTTTACCTGTTTCTTAGGGTTATGGACAGCTACAATGTCCACAGATGCTTTCTAAGAAATCATGAAGTGTCTAGGAGCTCACCTCAAACATCAAACAATTCCAAGCAGTTCAGTTTGCATTGACCTTAACTTGCCAGCTGCGAGAGTTTCCTAGGACTACTGTAACAAGTCACCACAAAGTGGGTGGCTAAAAGCAACAGAAATGCATTGCCCACTGTTTGGGAGGCCTGAAATTAAGGTGTCCACAGACCCTTGGGAAGGCCTTGCTTACCTCTAGCTCTTGGTGATTGTCCGAAATCCTTGGCATTCCTTGGCTTCTGGCAGCATAATTCCATCTCTGCCTCCACCTTCCCTCTGTCTGTATCCAAATTTCCTTCTCCTTATAAGGATTTTCGTCATTGCATTATGGCCACCCTAATCTAGTATTACCTTATTTTAAATTGATTACATCTGCAGAGAACCTCTTTCCAAATACAGTTGCGTTCACAGGCTCTGTGACTTTGGGGGCCACAGTATATAACCAGTACACCAGCAGGCTTGCATTTTATACCCTCTGTTGGAATGAAATTTGGTAACAGATTGGTGACTAAGAGGGTGTGAAGCATCCTTTGAGGGTGGTAGGAAATACAGTTTATTCACAAGTGTTAGACTAATTGAAGGGCAGTTAACTCATCTGCTGTTACTGAGAGGCTGGTCCAGGGAGAAGCTTGGCAGGTGGTATAGCTAGTGAAGTATTTGGTGTGGCAGTGTTCTGTGCTAGATAAGAGACCCTTATAACCTTGTGTGTGGAAGTACGTGTTCCTTTAAAGTCTGATGGGGTCCATGGAAGGTGAAAAAGGCTACAGATGTAATTGGTGTTTCTAGGTAGGATGACAAAAATAGATTTGGATATGTTGGTTCTAAGGACTGTTGAGAAAAGAGACTTCTGCTTCTTACCTGGGATTTGAGCCGAGCCGTTTGGTGAAGGCATAATGTCCTTGGGGGCTCTGAGAATTGAAAGAGATGACCTGGAAGGGAAGAAGAGAGAGCACCTGGGGAAAAAGGGATACTTAGGTGGTGGAGGTATCTAATTCTAAGTAGATCTTGGGGGACTTTTGCTTTTAAGTAACATATCTGAGAAGTAAGGAGAACAGCTTCTAGGTAGAAGAAGCAAATGTATAAGAATTCTTTAAGGAAGCTTGATTTAAAGGTCAAGCTTTTAATATGTGACCGTGAATTGCGGTTATTCCCCTCCCAATATCCCACATACACACACACTCCCTTTAATTTTACAAAATAGCTTTAACCTTTTCTGGAAGTAGCACCACATGACTCAGGATTGACTATTGCTGCTGGTACATAGAAAGAAAATCGAGAGGTGGCCAGAACCTTCTGTGTGTCTGGCAGTAGGCCAGTTGGTCCCTTTCATTTGCAGAAAATGAGGCGGGAGGCAGAGGCAAACCAGCATTACTGGATTTTCCCAGGTGAACTTTTGGGAAAGGGAAGCTCTACATTGACACAAAAACTGAGATGTAGTCTGGCGTTTTCATCATTGAGAGTTTTCTCTGCCTCCCTCTCCACCAAAACCTGGCATGGAATAAACACTCAGTAAATACTTACTAAATAGAACTGATAAGGGCAACAATAGTATCTTTCCCAAGAAGCTTAAAATGCTTCATATCTTTCATTTAGCCTCTCCCTCCTCCAGTCTGCAGAAAATAGATTCATTAAGTACTTTAATGTTTATATCATCTGTATCCCGTGTCAGCTCTTAGGCCTCCCCTGGTGGATATGCCCTGCTAGTTTGCTGTCTTGTCAGAAACGAAACGGACAAGCAGGGTTCCTATTCAAGCCATTGCGTTGAAGCACGGTGTTTCCATTTGCCCCAGCCACTCTTATCTGAACATACTGTTCAAATTGGTGATGGAAAGGGAGGACAATTTGGAAAACAGAAAAACAGTGGTTACTATTTCTGGCTGTCTGAACCTTGTTTTTCTTCCTGTGCTAGATCAATTCAATGACTCATTAATAGATCTGTTTAGTTTAAGCCATTTGTTTATTTTATATTATTCACAAGGTAGCTGCATTAGCAGATAAGAGATTTTTATCAGTCAGAGTAAAGAAAAAAAGGCATGTTGCTGTCATGGCCACTGTTGAATCATGTGTTCTTTTGAGTATTTTTTCTGCCAGAGGGCAAAGCTGGAGAGAGAGAGGGAGGGAGAGAGAGAGAAAGAAATCACCCCTAGAGGGTATGGCCATGCCATCTCTTCTCCTATATTCTCTTTTTAGGATTTTGGGTATGCATGCAAACATACCCAGTGTGATTTTCAAGCTGCCAGATGCCACACCACCTGCCGGTTCCTTTTCTTTTTTTCTTTTTTAAAGAATTATTTT